ATGCATAGTGGGCTGTAGTCCACGAAAGCTTATGCTCTAATAAATTTGTTAGTCTCTAAGGTGCCACAAGTACTCCTGTTCTTTTTGCGGATACGGACTAACACGGCTGCTACTCTGAAATGTACATAAACCCTACATTTCTGACTGCCAGATACTGGGACTGGGTGATGGGGGATGGATCCTGGAAATTGCCCAGTTCTGTTCACTCCCTCTGAAGCATCTGGCACGGCCACTGTTGGAAGACAAGATACTGGGCTAGATAGACCACTGGTCTGATTCAGTATGGCTGGTCTTATATTTTGCACATTTTTCCATTCTTAAAATATAAGACAGTCCATCAAAGTAGTTGCTGCCATCTAAGGCATTTATTAATTACCAAAGAGACTAAATTACTTCCTAAAACCTATTATAGATTCCTCTTATTACTAAGGAATTTCATCTGCATGATTTATGATTTTATTATGCAAAGGTAAGCACTTACTTATAGTGAATGGTGGTAATAGATTAAGGTTGCTACCGAATGATGCTGAAATGAATAGACTTAAATATATGGGTTTGAACTTGAAGTGGCTTTTAAAAAGCGTACTAGGGAAAAATCCAATTTTGCTTTTGCTATTTCAGCAGATGGTAATTTTCTGAAAGGAATAGCTCCGTATGGTAAAGGACACGGTACTTTTTCCCATGTAAATGTACTTCATTCTTCCTAGAAATGTGCAATAAAAATGATTAGAGGCATACAAAGACTTCCATGTGAGAAGATACAACAAAAATAGGGACTGTTTAGTTTATGAAGGAAATAGGGCTGTCAATTAATTGCAGTTAACTCATGCGATTAACTAAAAAAAAATTAATAGAATACCACTTGAAATTTTAAAAATATTTTTGGATGTTTTTCTACATTTTCAATATTGATTTCAATTATAACTCAGAATACAAAGTGCACAGTGCTCACTTTATATTATTATCTTTTATTACAAATATATGCACTGTAAAATTGGTAAACAAAAGAAATAGTATTTTTCAATTCACCTCATACAAGTACTGTAGTGCAATCTCTTTATCGTGAAAGTGTCACTTACAAATGCAGATTTTTTTTGGTTATATAACTGCACTCAAAAACAAAACAATGTAAAACTAGAGAGCCTCCAAGTCCACTTAGTCTAGGGTGACCAGATGTCCCGTTTTTAAAGGGACAGTCCCGTTTTTTGGGACTTTTTCTTATATAGGCACCTTTTATCCCCTATCCCCTGTCCGGTTTTTTACAGTTGCTATCTGATCGCCCTAACTAAGTCCTACTTCTTATTCTGCCAATCGCTAAGACAAACAACTTTGTTTACATTGACAGGAGATACTGCTGCTTGCTTCTTATTTACAATGTCACCTGAAAGTGAGACAGGTGTTTGCATGGCACTTTTATAGTCGACGTTGCAAGGTATTTACATGCCATATATGCTAAACATGCGTATGCCTCTTTGTGCTTTGGCCACCATTCCAGAGAACATGCTTCCATGCTGATGATGCTTGTTAAAAAAATAATGCGTCAATTAAATTTGTGACTGTACTCCTTGAGGGGAGAATTGTATGTCTCCTGCTCTGTTTTACCCGGATTCTGCATATATTTCATGTTATAGCAGTCTCGGATGATGACCCAGCTCATGTTCGTTTTAAGAACACTTTCACAGCAGATTTGACAAAATGCAAAGAAGGTACCAATGTGAGATTTCTAAAAATCTCGACCCAAGGTTTAAGAATCTGAAGTGTCATCCAAAATCTGAAAGGGACGAGGCGGGTAGCATGCTTTTAGAAGTCTTAAAAGAGCAATACTCTGATGTGGAAACTACAGAACCCAAACCACCAAAAAAGAAAATCAATCTTCTGCTGGTGGCATCTGACTCAGATGATGAAAATGAGCATGCATTAGTCCGCACTGCTTTGGATCGTTATCAAGCAGAACCCATCATCAGCGTGGTAGAATGTGCTCTGGAATGGTGGTTGAAGCATGAAGGGATATATGAATCTTTAGCGCATCTGGCACATAAATATCTTGCAACAGCTACAACAGTGCTATGCAAATGTCTGTTCTCACTTTCAGGTGACACTGTAAACAAGAAGCAGGCAGCATTATCTCCTGCAAATTGTAACCAACCTTATTTGTCTGAGTGATTGGCTGACCAAGAAGCAGGACTGAGTGGACTTGTAGGCTCTAAAGTTGTACATTGTTTTATTTTTGAATGCAGTTTTTTTTTACATAATTCTACATTTGTAAGTTCAACTTTCATGATAAAGAGATTGCACTACAGTACTTGTATGAGGTGAATCGAAAAATACAATGTTTTTGTTTTTTACAGTGCAAATATTTGTAATAAAAAATAAATATAAAGTGAGCACTGTACGCTTCGTATTCTGTGTTGTAATTCAAATTAATATATTTGAAAATGTAGTAAACATCCAAAAATATTTAAAATAAATGATATTCGATTGTTGTTTAACAGCGTGATTAATCACGATTAATTTTTTTAATCGCTTGACAGCGCTAAAAGGAAACAAATAAGAGGGAACATGATACAGCTATATAAAACACTTAAAGAAGGTCAGTTCAGCACGGGGACTTATGCCCACTCATAATACAACAGCAAGACGATTGCTAATAAAAATTAAAGGTAATACATTTAAAACAGATAAAAGGGTTTTTCCAAACACCCCCATGCACCAGATACTTTCAGTAGCATGCAGGTGGTTATTTACATGTGTCCACAGTAAAAGCAGACATTTATTATCCCCATCTCCTAAAAGATTCAAGTCTCTCTGAATCTGGTACCATCACTGTGCATTACATCTCAGTTGACTCTAACAGTATATCTTATATTTGACGTGCTCACCCAGATCATCCTATTGGATATATCATGTAACATTTCTAAAGAACACCCACTAATTAACTAACTCACAGGAAACAGGCTGATCTTCACATATTGATCATCAAGGGATCATTTTTGTAGAGTATAGGTCATACGCCAGGAACATTTCTGGCTCTTGGGAGGCAAGCAGGTCAAGATTCTTGGGAGAAGAGCATGTGAGAAGAATAAGATGAGGTTGGCAAACAAAGGATTTGAGGGAGTAGAGAAAACATGAGCCACAAAAAGAGGGAGTTACAGACAGCAGGGTTAAGGGAGAGGGATTATTTTACTCAAGAATTATTTTATTATTTTAGCAAGCAGGAAGGAAGTGGTAGAGGCTCCTGCTGGGGGGAAGGGGATATGAAAGATATTGTGGAAACTAGTTTAGCCCCCATCAGCCGCTCAGCGTAGAGGGCTTGGGATTAGCACTGTAAAGATTATGTGAGGTTTCCTTCTGTGAAATCTCCCTTGCCTAATGAGTTATGCCCTTTGAAGTGTTCAATCCTACCAAAATTGTTCCCCAAAACTGATTCTATTCTTATGCCTTTACAATGGTGGGAGAAGCAAAATCAGTTTACTAAATCTGCTATATCCGTGTCCTATGACTCCAGTTCCCACATTATCTTTTTTAGTGCACCAATTTTCCTTATCATCACTTCAGTCTTTTTGAATAAACTTATTGTTAGTTTAGGGTATTTTCTGTAGTTTAAACAGTAAATATGTATATATTTGCTCCTAGTTATCCTTCTAACTTGCATCACTTCATATTTACAGATCATTCTCCGCACTATAGTGCTTGTCTTTCTGAAAGTTCTCCACTTATTGTTTTCATATACAACTGGTTTATTTTAATTACAGTATCTTCAATATTTGTAATATTATCTGCAGACTTCTTATGTTTGTAGAAACCCACTTAAAATTCCTTGGTGAATTAGATATTTCCCCAAAGACAGATGTCCTGAGTCAGATGTCCTGAGTAACAAAAGTATTTGTGTTTATTTCTCTACACCAGAACCTTTAAAGACTACAGGTCACTATACAAATTGTTCTAGAGCCACTACCTTCCAACACTTTATGAATGACATCTTCAGGGATATCCTTGATCAGTTAGTGGTCTCCTACCTAGACAACATTCTCATCTTCTTTGAGAACCAGAGCTCCATGACCACCACATACATATTATTCTAGATCAGTTTTGCTAGGATCAACTCTATGCCTAGCCCAAAAAGTGAGAATTTGATACAGACACAGTGGAGTCCCTGAGTTACATCACTTCCCCGGCAGGGTTCACAATGGGCCCCTGCAAGGTAGTGGTAATCATAGTATGGAAGGCTTTCTCAGATATGCATGTGGTACAACAATTCCTGTGCTCTGCAAACATTTACAAGTGATTCTTGAAGAGGTTTTCCAGCCTCGTTGCCCCCTTAAAGTCCCTCCTCAAGAAGGGAGTCAGATTCGCCTGGTCTGCCAATGTGCAGGCTGCATTCAATGACCCGAAAAGAACCTTCACATCTGCCCCCCATCCTAGTCCATTTAGACACACTCAGGCCTTCATCATTGAAACTGATGTTTCAGACATTTCAGCAGGCTCAGTCCTTTACCAGCTTGCAGGTCTCACCCAGTTACTTTTTCTCCTAGAAACTGACTCCAGTGAAGCAAAACTTGGACAAGGAACTTCTGGTGGCAGATCTCTATTCAAATCCTTACGCATCAGGCAGAAGGGAGGGACTGGAACTGGGCCAATTCTTTTCTTCTTTTTTCTCTCTCTTTTTTATTTGCAATTTCAACGATTTATATGGATTTTTATTTTTAAGATTTTTTAATTACTTTTAACTACTTTTATTTTTACAGTTGCGGGAAATTAAGGAGGGGATAAGGTTGGGATTAGGGTTAGAGCAGTGCTGACAGTGGAGCTGCAGGGGGCAAACAGCATGTTCCCAATCCTGACTCTGGTTCTGACCTTATGGCGTGACTCTTGGACCCTGACTCCAGCTTAACCCTTGGACTGGTACCTGACTCCTGGGCCTATGCTCACCAGTGCTCCAAACTGCCGCCACAACCACCAGTCAAAGTCCTGTTCCACCCATTAGGTAGGACACCCACATCGTGGCAACTTACACCATCTACTGCACATGATCAGAAATTATTCTGGGCCTAACCTAGTAAGACTAGTGTCATGAACAAGCACGGTATCATTTAGGGATAAATCTTGCAAGAGAGAGTAATGATAATGTGGCAAAAGACCACCTTGACTTAACCACGAGATCTTGCATGATCTAAAAAATAAAAAGGAAGCCTTGATGTTGTTGCTAGTACCACCAGAGATTAGAATCTGTCTGTTATTACATAATGTATGAGTAGTGCATTTCTTCAAACTTAAAATTTCTGTTCATATCTAAGGCAAATATTGACATTTTAGCTTAAAAAAATACACTGATCATACTATATATTATTTATTCTGTGCTCTGGATCTTGCATGTACTAGGCTACATGAAAGTAAGATTTAGTCTGTAAGAACAGGCCATAGCTCTGTTGTACAAACCTTCACCATTTCTATCTAAGCACCTGTAGTTAAATAATAGTAAAAGGGTCACTCTAATTTTTAAAGATCATTAACCCTGATACCGTTACAGTCTTGTATTAATCAGTTCTCCAGAGGAATGCTGAATTGCTTACTGTAGGTGGACCTGGCCACGACACCTCTTGAGGTTCTGATAAACGTTAACCAAGGAAGTGCCAGCCAAATTGCAAGTATATTTACACCTATTGAAGTGTCTCAACCTTTTATATTTGTAGTTGTTACTAGGTAACATTTATGTCAATATGTACAACAGGCTCATCCTTGTTTCACCAGACTAATCGATCAGCCTTTTGTTTTCACTAACATCTATACTTTTTGTGCCTGGATAACTCATCACTCTCCTGTTAGCTCATCCTACTTTTGCAGAATGGTCCTGAACAAAGAATACACCATACTTTGCTTTTATCAATCCATTGAATTGTGCTACAACTTACATTGAATTGCAATCGATACCAACCAGTAACTAGAACCTACTTGAACACAGTTATGTCATATAGAACTTTGCTGTACCTCCATTCTTCCACAGTTATCCAGTTTCTGATGTTTACACCATCCTGTGTTTTCAGTGTTGTCTCTTCAATGCACACATCCCACAGCTGTCCTTGCTGGTATTCCTCCCATTCTGTAACTCATACATTTGAAGCATGCCATATGTCATCAATTTAACCCTTCAGTCTGTTTGTCTTGTGAACATCAACTTGTATTAAGCACTCTGATTTAATCTCTGAACACTACTACCAGAATTTTGTAAAAAAACTATTTTCCACACTTTTTACCTTTGAGAACATTTTACACGTAAGCATCTATTACAAAATCTGTTGCCAGTTTTGTAAAACTTAAATTGCTTGTGGATAATTATGCACTGCCTACTTTACTAAGAATTTCCCCCCTTATCCCACTGGGGGCCAATTTTACCTGTGGTGTGACCACTTGCTTCAGCAAAAACAAAATGTTCTTTTCTAGTCCAGTCTTCTGCAAAGCCTGGTAGAAAGCCGAATCATTTCCAGGTTCCCTCTCTCACCTCAGTCCAGACGTTATCAGGGCTGCCTCACGAATCAAGCAGCAGCTGTGATAAGATTAACTTTGCATTTACCAACTATACCTCGACATCTGAAGAAACATTATCCCCTTCTACATGGAAGGGGAAAAAGTAATACAAATATAAGGGCGCTAATGCCGAAGAAAATCTTAACCATTTGTGAGAGTAGTGGGTGAGTGGCGCTGAAAGGGATTTTGGCTACTAGGTTCACAAGGGAGATTTAGGTGCTGCATTGCTGAGCCTAACTTTTCAACACCCTATACACTACTGGAATTCGCAACCCTGAGTTAGGTGCCCAGGATCTGCACATAATGCCTGAGGTTAGTTAGTCGCCTACAAATGGGATTCACAGAAGCCAGAAAGCTGAGTGGGAAGCCCCTACATCAGCCAGTAGGAAATGTCAAGGAGAGGTGTGTGCCCTAGGCCCTGTCTGTGAAAGGGCGTTAGGTGCCAATCTCTATAGCCATGATCCCTCTCCAGGAGTGAGACATGTAAACCAAATCAGTCATTTAAAAGGGGGGAAAAAAAAAAGGAGGCAGTGCCCCCTTATAACCTTTAGCCCAGTGTAGAGCACTTGACCAGCACGTGGGACACTCAGGTTCACTTTCCCCAGGCTGCTTGATATGGAGCAGATATTTGAATTTGGGTCTTACCATCCAGGAGAGTGCCCTAATCATGGAGTTATGGGGTATTCTGGAGCAGCTTTCACTCAATTTCTCCTGTTGAAGTTGTTTCACTGGGTAGAAATAATTAAATATTTGTTGGAGAAAGGGGACTGGAACCTGGGTCATCCACATCTAAGGTGTCCTAGCCACTGGGCTATAAAGAATCAGTCTCTCTCTCTCTCCAGCCCAATGCATATTTAATTATTTATACATAGTGGAAGAGTTCCAACAGAAGAGAGCCTGGGGCCCCATGAGCAGCATCGTTCTGGCTGGCCAGATTCCCCACACCAAACCTCCATGCTTTTCAGTGCCTTGTCTGGCTCTCTATAGGTTCTACTCCCCTTTTCCACTACTTTTAGGCTCATGGCACAAAATTAGCATATTTTTGTTACTCTCTGTACCCCAGACTGGATGGAACCATTTAACCCATAGTATTTCATCTCAGCATATTTTATTTATTGATATAGAGAAACAAAATATCTCAGACTCTTCATCTCAGACATTAAATGACCTCCCAAGCTCACCGATTATTAGGACAAACCTAGATTTCTCCTTAAGTATGAACATACTTTCCCCACACATCCTCATTGTCTGTCACCATCTGTGAAACCTTTCTAGAATTTATTCTTGCATTGCCCCTGTGTCTGCTAACATGCTTATCCATTTTCACATCTCAAGCACTTCTCATTTTGACAATTAGTCATCCTCTGCTAAGGTCTGCATAAGTTCGTATATTCTATATGTCAAGGGCTCTGAAATACTGGTGTCTACAGACACTGCTCAAGGGCCTGGACCTTATTAGCCGCTTTCCTTACACCTCCTTGGCATTTTAGCCATTTCCAAATCAAGTTTTCCTCCTATTTTGCAAAGTTCTCAGTGGACTCTCTGACCTTCCCATCCTGCTTACTCTGTGCTTCAGATCTTGTCCTCCTCTTTGTCTCCTCCAATGGTCTTTTATTGGTGCTACTCTATATAGCTGGAAGATTTTCCCACTAGCTGAGCCACTGGATTGTCTTAAAATTTTCCTTTTCACTTTAGCCTTACGCCTGGATCCACAACGGAATTTAGGCATTACGACATTCTGCATCAGAATGCCTAACTTTTAGATGCCTAGAAAAATCACAGGAACAACACTGATCCACAAAGCCCAAATTAGGCAATGAGGCTCCCGATACAATGAATGGGGAAGAGATAGATGACTGAGAATGTGATCCATGAAGCTGGCACAGTATGCAGGGAGCCGTCTAAGCTGGGTGACTGGGTGTCACTGGCCCTGTGGCCATGCTGGGAGCCCTCTGCAGCCCTGACAGTGCAGAGGGCTCTCTACGATGATACAGGGCTGGTCACACCCAATCCCTGGATGCAGGGCCATCCCTAGATAGGTGCAGGGCCTGGGACACAAGCACTGAATTTCTAATCTGCTGGGGGTGCTCCCCCCAAGGCCCCACCCCCACTCCACCCCTTCCCCCAGGGCCCCACCCCGTCTCTTCCCACCCCTACCCTACCCAGTTCTGCCCCCTCCCCTGAGCTTGCTGCACCCTCACTCCTCTCCCCTCCCCGCCCAGTGCCTCCTGATGCCCTGGGTGAAACATCTGATCCACGCTAGGCACTGGGAGGGAGGGGGAGGTGCTGATTGGTGGGGCCCGCTGGCAGGCAGGAGGTGCTGGGGAGAGGGGGAAGTTCTGGTAGAGGGGCTCCTCCTTGTCCCCCCCACCCACCTTCCTGCCACTCGCCTCCCCGTTCGCCTCCTCACCCCACTCTTGCAGGGTCCCCAAAGCAGAGGGCCCGGGGCGGTCACCCCAATTCACCGTACCCTAGGGACGGTTCTGCCTGGACAAACATGGAGGGTAGGCTGCACTCCCGCCAACTCTTACCAACCAGTATTTTTTGTCGTTTATTTCAGTGTCAGCTGAAATCAATATCTAATGACAGTTATCGATTTCAATTGAATCCTGCCAAGCCTGGATATAAGGGGAATGTCCTTGTCCGCCACGCTCCATTCCCCTCTCCCCAGCTGATTTGGATGGAGTGAGGTAGCCTCTGAATTAAAAATTTTATTAAGATGATGTTAAAAAAAATAGTGAACAGAGTTTGAGCATAGAAGTTTCTGGTTATCAGGGAATAACATACAGATTATTGAGGGTGCAAAGTTTGGTTTCAGATAAGGTGGCATGAGGAATACATAATCTGCAATATCCCTGATTGGGGGTAAAAGGTTGATGGGTCAAAGTACAGACATTGAGATATGAGGGTATGAAGTTCATAAAGTGGCTATGTTCGGGTGTGGATTATAATGAGTGGATATGATGATGAGGATGGATTGATCCTCATTTGGTGAGATTTAATGTTCAGAGAGTTTATGGTTCCAGTTCATATGATCCAATGGAGAAGGTCACTTGGTCCCTTTCTCGTAGTGGGAGAACGATGTCACTCTGGCTCACGCCTCCTGGTACTGTCGGTGGCCGGTGATGTGCTCGATGTAGATGTCCCTGGACCATCGGATGGCGTCTGAGACCTCATAGCCCTTTGCTCTCAGGGTGTCAGCCGGGGGGGGGGAGGGTACTTTTCCAGCTTATGAGCTCGGGCTTCGCGAAATGCCAGGGTCCTGTTCTCAAAGGAGACTGTGATGTCGACGAGTATGAACTTTTTCTGGGCCTCGTTGGTGACGACCACGTCAGGTCGTAGCTGGCTGTCAGTACCGGCCACACGTCAATTTAGGCAGACAAGCGTCTGACTCGGGAATTGCTCTGGGGCAGGATATAGGTGTCCAGGCACCTAGATTTAGGCAGCACTACACATACTGAAAGGCAGAAACACAGGCACCTAGGGGACTTTTACTGCAGAAAATATATGTGCTGAGTGAATTTAGGCACCTCCAGGCTTAGGTGGAAGCCAAACAGGAGTTCTGTGGATCAATGTGGTGCCTAAAAATGGGTCTTAGGTCCCTAAGTTGGATCTGGTCCTTTCATACTAAATCAGGGTCCACTTTTTCAATTTCTCTCTCTTTACTATATTCTTGAATTCGCCTCAGACTAGTTAGTTTCTAGAAGTTTCAGTTATTTGCATCTTTGCAGCTTTTACATTTAAGCCTTCTGTCCTTTTATTTTTTGCCATTTCCATGTATTGGTTTGACTTCTCTGCTGATGTAAGACTTGCTGTTCACAGCTCGGTGATGCATCAACTCTCTAATGCACCTCTTCCTGTATTGTATTCTGCACAAAGGGCACCATATAAAAATAGATGGAATTGCATTGTATCACCTTATATTATGGATGGGAAACATACAGTTTGTTGCCGTGCCTCTTTTTTGTGTTATTACTCAGGTTATTTCCTCTCATTCTTTTATCCTCGTTGGCCTTCTTGAAAAGGATAAAGGGGGACAGTAAATCCCGGTGTCATTTGCTACTACAAATCACTACTATAAATCACCACATCGGAAGAAATGACATAACTCTACCAGTCAAAGCTGTATGAATTATCTGTAACAGTGGAGTATCAATTAATAGCTACAATGTGCCTGGACTAGCTGAACTGTGTGTCTCTATAGCTGCATTTAATTTAGACAGAAATACACACTGTTCCTCCTTTATGTGGTTGTTAAACAAACTTCTAGGATATATTATGTGGGAATACATAACAGTATTGTAAAATGAATTGCAATTTATTTCACAACCATTATTTAGTTACTTTAGGCCTAATCCTGTACTCCTTGAGCCATTCCCAGTGGCTTCAGTGGGAACTTTGGGTATACAATAAATGCAAGGTCAGGTCTTTTATGGTGCAGCTGGTTCTCTACCTAAAAATCTGATGATGAGGTCTGAGTTCTAAAATTAATCTGGAGAGTGCGTATAGTTTCTATGGTATTTTCTTCCAACTTGCATAGCATATTAATGATCAAATCTCAGAGTATTCATTCCCACATTGAGTAAAATTTCTCTTATGAAATGATGGCTTATGATGACTCAGAATATTAAATATGCATCATTTAGACAATTATTTACTCTTATGCGAATGTCACCGGAATAAATTCAGAGAAAATGTTTTCCCCAGGAAATTAAGTTTTAAAATCATTTAAAATCTGGCAGGAAACCTATCCCATTTTTGAAATGTGAAGACACACGTATCCTTAAAGGGTATGCAGATTATAGCAATAGTTTTATTTGTTTAGGACCCGCTTTTGTAGCTGAAGGCGCAGCAAGGTTTTTCATTATTTCCCCACCAAAAGGTACTATAAGGGGTAATTGTTCACCAGTAGTTCTGCTTCTCTGAAGATATTCTTTGACTGGATTCCTACTTTTTGGGTCTCAGCTCAGCTCCCTAATGTAACACAGAAAACACAGAGCACCATGAGCTCTCAAAAACATTGGGCTCATTGAGGCAGTAGTAATGCAGCTCCCTTCTGACATCGACTGGCAGCAGGAGCATCATTTCAGAAAAATTCAGGGTATTGTGTCTGTATCGTGTCTGAACATTTTATGTGATTTTTATTATATCCTGAAAAATCAAGGGTGGGTGGGAGGGAATGGAAGACATAATGGGCATATAAATCTATAAAAACCAATTGCTCCCCCCCCCCCCCTTGCTCCATAGCTAAATGACACGCTGGACTACAGGCTTTGGATCCTCTTTCTGGAACTTTCTGGTTTGGTTTCTTGATAAACAGGAAGCAGAGAGTCCATCAAGGTCTAAGTATAGAAGACAATTGCATGGTCTTTTAACCGTCTTTAACTTGATTTTCAGTTTAGCAATACAAAGGTCTTTGCCCATGTCCACAGAATATAGATATATAGTTTGAGATAATCAGAGTGTAACAGGGCATAGAAGG